ATCTGGTCACATGATCTGGTCACATGATCTGGTCTCATGATCTGGTCTCGTGATCTGGTCACGTGATCTGGTTACGTCAGAGTGAGCAGAGCAGGGAGCGGGAGAAGCCAACACTGCACTTGAACTGGTTGCACGGTGGCGTCAGGCTCGACAGAAGCTGACACACCTGAAAGTTTGGTACCAAAGAGGGGCAGCGAACATTTGAGCCAAGCTGCTGTCCCGGAGCTGCACAAAAAATGCAGAAACAGAGTTGCAGCGGAACAGAGTGTTCATTTAAAAATATATGAGAAGAAGACACTGAAAAATAATTGCATATTAAATCACAATACTGAGGAAAAACATCACAATTAGAATCAACAAAGTCCACGCTCAATAATCCAGTTATACAATCCAACATTTTTCAGTCAGGTCATCTGGACAGTTTCTTTTTGTGCTGAAACGTTTCGCCTTCGATCCAGAAGGCTTCATCAGTCAAGGAAACACACAACAAAACTGATTCTTCCCCCAACAGCTTCCTCCAAAGTGGAACAAAGCCTCTGTGTTGAGAGTTAAATTGTGGCGACTCACAGAGTCTTTGCTGAAGTATTTTTCTAAAAGGACTGTTGTCATCGACGTACGTTCCCATCCAGGGCTCTGCATTGAACCCATCCAATGAGTCATACCAGGTGGAGCAGTGGGCAGCTATGTAAACACCTGGGGAGCAGGTAATGCCTTGCTCAATGACACCACAAGATGTGAGCATGGCGGGGACCAAACCTGTGACTTTCTGGTCCCAGGTCGGCCGTACGTCTACACCGCACCACCCCTGTTTGGGTGTGAGGAAGAATAAAAACCAGCTGTCACTGCACGCTGTAATTCTTTTAAATTACTTGGTGGAATTGTAGTTTTAAGGTTCATGGGCAAAGAGTTGAAACAAAATCAAAAAAGCTTCAAAATTAAAACAATTAATTTGTTCAAATCATTGTTTTCTGTTTATTTGTTTTGCAGGGTTTCGTAGATTGCGACCTGTCTAAAATCCAATACGGAGGTGCAAATGTTTCCGGATTTCAAATAGTGGATTTTGAAGATCCAGTGGTGGCGAAGCTGGATCAGCGATGGGAGGCTTTGGAAGAAAAAGAGTATCCTGGAGCTGATGCACGAATCAGAGTAAGAGTTCCATGTTCAGTCATAATAGATGATCTTTAGTCGTTCCAGCTGAAAGTCCAGTGACGACGTGTGCACATTAAGTGCACGTGACATCACGAGCTGAGTGACAGCAGCACGGCTCGCGTCAGTTTATTTATAAAGTGTTAAGAACAGGATTCATGTGAGAGCGCGGACACAAACAATATGACGTGACAGCTTCACTGCGTCGTAATGTCACGGTGAGCACACTGGAACTACGTTCATCACTGCTGGGCCGAGAACGAGCAGCCTCAGCTGACACGATGCGAACGGTAAGATCGCTCTGCCCACGTAGGAACTAACCCAGGCTCAGCTACGCTCCCACAAACAAACAAATCAACAAGACGACCGAACTGCTGGAGGTGGAGCAGCTCGCCGTGTCACCTGAGACACTGGTGACGCCTTTCTGCCTGATCCACCAACAACAAGCCCAAGAAGATGGACACAAAGATACTGATCATTTTCAATAGTTCAGTTTTCATCGCAGAATGAGACGCGGCTCAAATTGACTGTGAACTCCAGTAGTCAGCTCCTCCACCTCATCCATGTAAAATAAAACTACTTTCTGAAAATCATTTCTAACTTATTTCAAGTAATAATTCTGAAATAATACTCCAATTTAGCACCGTTAATGAGAGAAAACAGTTCTGTGAAGTAACTCTAAAATAATATGCAAGTGAAAAAATGTTGTGAGAATATATCATGACTGATTTAAATTTGTGTTCAGAGCAGGAATCGAACCATTTCTGCTAGAACACGTGATGGAGCTGTCACAACTTGTTCAGCAACGTCCTACCACGGTGGTGGAAACCCGACCCGGATTAGGGCCAGGCCGTTATAATGTGATTAATGGGCAAGTCGGGCCGGTCTCAGGCTTTGATGCAGTTTTATGAATCATGCAGCAGAAATCAAACTCCATCTTAAAGCACAATATAACACTGTGTTGATGCAGTGAGAGGAGGAGGCAGGAGGTTTACTCATGACGGATGTAAATAATAAAAAAATAAAGTGCACAAGTTCATCAGACTGAAGAGAGAGCAGCGCTCGCAGCGCATTGCGCAACAATTACACATGGCCCCGCCCCCTCGCTCCTCTTATGACACAGCTGAGGATTAACACTTGATCCGCACACAATTAAGTGACGTAATGTATAAAAAGTATAAAAGAAAAGCTAAAAACAGCAGCACTCACTGTTCAACACCAGCACGCTGCAAAGTCTGAGGTCTGGATTCTGGAACCTGATGGACTTTGCCAGAAACGCTCCAGAAGTAGGTGAGACCGTCATGGCTGCCAAAGCTCGTGCGTGAAAACAATGTGGTGAGTCTGCGCAGCTCAAAGACTCTAGTCAGATGAACTCCATCTAACATTCAGCACTGTCTCAGTCAGTGCAGGACATTACAACGAGCTGGGAGAAGACGCTCGCGGGGAGCAGGTGCACGTGGACGTCTCCCCGACAGGTTGGACTTTTTACTCACATTTGTAGAACCGTTTTACCGTGCACAGAGAACCGGAGGGGTAGAACCGTTTTACCGTGCGCAGAGAACCGG